CTATATATATATATATATATATATATATATATATATATATTGCGTCTAGCATGAAACAACCTGTCATCTCTGAGTGTTGACTTCCATGTTCTCTTTTATATTTATATTTACATACGCTCTATCTATGATATTGAGAACTTTATCCCAAAAATATAGCACACCTTAAAACTATATTTCTCGATAGATAGATAGATAGATTACAATTCCATTATCGAAACTGACATTCAGCCACAAGGGAAAGACAATGTATACGATTCAACGCTAACCCGTTCCTCATTCAAAATGGATAGCGACCATTAGTCGTTATATTTATCCCATAGTGGGCGCCCCATGAGAAATATCCCCATTAAATAACCTAACAACTGTCGACCTACCGTCAAATCCAACAGACAACAACATAATTAAAATAAACAAATTGTGCTTGTTTTTGTTTCCTGTTTTTGAAAATATTTTTCTGTAATTTTCGGATTAATTATCTCGTGTTCAGATTGATATGACGAAGAAACTGTCTACTGTTTATATCTGTTTATTAGGTTTTTCTGTAGATAACGTCCTATTTTAGAATAAAGCTTTGTATTGTGTTCTAATACATTAATATAATATTTGCGTAAAACTATATTATCCATTCGTACTGATTATAAGTATCCTTTGTTAATTTTATATCAATCTCTTTTAGAATTCTGTTCACAAATACGTGACGCATCATTTGTATACACTGGGAAATAGTGTTAGTTTGTTCGGAAAATAATGTCCTGTTTTAGAATAAAACTTTTTTATTGTGTTCTAATATATTAATATAATATTTGCGTAAAAATATATTGCTTATTTCTAATTATTAAGGACTCATCTTTGTCAGTTTTATCAATCTCTTTTAGAATTTAATTTATTCAATTATACACCCGTCATCTTGAACATGAAAAAAAGAGGTTCATTTACTTTTTTTGCAGTTCATGCTTGGTCATAATGCTTCTGAAATTGCTGCCAAGAGGAATCGTTTCCTCATATTGGTTCTTCCTGGCAAGTGTTTTCAGCCATTGCATTCGCCAACCTTCTTCAGTTGTCCCGGGGAAATGTTTTAACAGAGGATGGAACATGTGACTCAGAAAACTGAAGATGCATTGGATCAGCAAAATATGCTTTCCAAAAGCTAAGCAAAGTATCAAGAAGCAAAAAAAATTTAGTCAGGAACAAAGGAAAAACATTAGAAAATGCTATGAAATATCCATCCTTCTATATGACAGTGAATGGTAAACAATTTTGTTACAGATGAAGAAACTTGAGGCAAAGGAGATATTAATAATAGAATCGAATGAAAAACAAGTTTGGAATTTTAAAAAGTATAGGACATTCAAAAACTGTATCTGTCTATATATTTGAGATGAGGTATTATGTACATTATTTACATTATTCGGACTATTGTCCTCATCTTTGTCGCCATATTTATTACAACGTTTCGGCCCTTCAGTATCTGTCTATATTTCTGAGATGAGGTATTATGTACACTATTTACATTATTCGGACTATTGTCCTCATCTTTGTCGCCATATTTATTACAACGTTTCGGCCCTTCAGCATCTGTCTATATTTCTGAGATGAGGTATTATGTACACTATTTACATTATTCGGACTATTGTCCTCATCTTTGTCGCCATATTTATTACAACGTTTCGGCCTTTGTAGGTTCCGGCTTTCTTCAGGTGGTTGGAATGTCGAATTAAACCTTTTATTTCGCTCACTGGGGTAGATTGTTCTAGTACCATGTTTAATAGATGTCAGTTATAAGTTATCTCCTGTTAATTTCCCTCTGAAAGTTCTCCACTGCCTTAACCGGGTATTGTACTCACATTCTTTGGGTCCTGTCAATGGATCTAACCAACGCCTTTATAACAGGAGATAACTTATAACACTCTAGGTGGTGTATTTGTAATAACTCTGTAAACACGAAGAACAGTACAGACCTACGCCCTAACTCCGATTCGTTGCTTGTATAATTTCCTTTGTAAGTGTTTTTTTTTTACGCGGTGGATTCGGAAGCCCCACTCTCAAGGGGTTTTGATTTCAGTGTTGTCGTTAACAAGCGACGATTAGAAATTGAACTCGGCACTCCTTGTCTTACTTTTTATGCCGATAGGCGCATCGCTATGTCAATTCCGTGGAGGTGGTGTAGGACTGTTTATGAATAATGGAATTACAAGAGAAACGAACATAAAAATGGTTTATGGACAATAAATTTGTTTAGGAGAAATATTTTTTCAGACCCGCATAAACATTTATAACATTATCGCTGGGATATTTTTTTCAAAAATTTAGTTTTTATTCTTTTCGTTGCTTTTATCAGCGTTTCATCATCTTCAGCCTCTTATCATCCATTTTACTAGCATCAAAAGCTGAACAACCGTCATTTTTAAAATATTGTCCCTCCCCTAAAAAAAAAAAAAAAAGATTACTTCGGATATGACGATTGGTGACGATCTGTACGAAAATGTATCTTCTTCTTCTTCTTCTTCTTCTTCTTCTTCTTCTTCTATGTACCGTGTCCCATCAGGATGTTGACGATCATGGCTCTCCACAATTTCCTCTCCTTTTTAAGTCTTAATAAATTTTGTCTCTTCGTTATTTCTCATAAACCTTGTTCCACCATCCATTTACACAAGCTCATTACTCTTCTTCTATGCGCCATGTCCCTTCAGCACGTGGGCGATCATGGCTCTCCACAATTTCCTGTCATTCATAGCTCTTAATAAGTTTTGTTTTTTGTTATTTCTCCTAAAAATTGTTCTGCCATCCATTTACACAAGCTCATTCTTCATCTTCTATGTGCCATGTCCCTTCAGGACGTGGGCGATAAAGGCTCTCCACAATTTCCTATCCGTTGTAGCTCTTAATAAATTTTCTCCTTTTTTTTATCTCTCATAAACCTTGTTCCGCCATCCATTTACGATTTTCTTCTATGTGCCATGTTCCTACAGAACGTTGGCGATTATGGCTCTCCACAATTACCTACCCGTTGTAGCTCTTAATAATTTTCGTATTTTTCTTATTTCGCATAAATCTTGTCCAAGCTTTCTAGATAGGTTATTAATTGTTTTCCTCTCCTCTCCATGTCTTCTCTCTCTCCTATGGGTATCGAATTTTCCAAGCCCTCTTTACTCATTAGGTACCCTAGAAATTCCAACTGTTTCTTCTTGATGTCAGTATAAGTACCGTTTGTTTGGACTAAATAAAGATTTTCTTTTGAAATTCCAGCGTATATCGACTGAAGAAAGTCGGAGTGTACAACGCTCGAAACGTCGTCAATATGGACATGAAGGTGAGGACAACAGTCCGAACAAAGTAAATATTATAAATAGTTTCAATCTCTCATTTCAGAAATATAGACAGACCCTGAAGAATGCCGAAGCGTACAACGGCCGAAAAGTCGTGAATATGGCAGTAAAGATTAGGACAATAGTCGGAACGATGTAAGTAGTGTAAATTATTACAATACCTCATCATAGAAATATTAACTGATCTTGAAGAAGGCTGGCATGTACAACGGCCGAAACGTCGTGAATATTGCAATAAAACATAAAGTCCGAACAATGTAAATAGTGTAAATATTTACAATACCACATCACAGAAATATAAACTGATCCCGAAGAAGGCTGGAGTGTACAACGGTCCAAACTTAGTGAATATAGAAATGAAGATGAGGACAACAGTCCGAACAAAGTAAATATTGTAAATAGTTACAGTATCTTATTTCAGAAATATAGACAGATCCTGGAGAAGGCCGAAGCGTACAACGGCCGAAACGTGGTGAATATGGCGATACAGATGAGGACAAGAATTCGAACGATGTAAATAGTATAAATAGTTACTATACCTCATCTCAGAAATATAGACGGGAATTACTAGTATATTTTCTAAAGAAATCATTGACTGTCACGAAGAAAAGTATTGTCGTTTGCCGCGAATAATGACAGAACATGGTTATTATATGTAGTATATGTATTATTATATATGTATTATATGTATATTATTATATATGCATTATATGCTATTATATGTATAATTTACTGTGTATCTGTATATCCTTCTTTCAGTGCTTTTAGTGAAAGGGGACAAAAAGATTAAAAAAAAAAACGTAAGTCTATGATAAATAGCAATTATCATGGCAAACGCGAACAAAAGAGATGCTTAACACTATTAAAGAAAAGATAATAAATAAATAAATAAATTTAAAAGCCTTAATAAAACAATAAATTAGTAATAAACCCGAAATCCAAAATGGTCGCACTGAACGCCATGTTGTTTACCTGGGCCTTGACATTGCTATCTTTTTCCATCGACACTGTTTTAGCTCGGCCGACATGTTTATTTCTTAATTCATGGCCTTTGGTATTTATTATTCATTCGTCAATGTTTGTATTTGCGCGTAATGTTTTCATTGTTTGGGAGTCATATTCATTGTCGTTTTATTTCTTTTTAGTCTATTGAATGAATTTCGTTTTATTTTCCTCATTATAATCCGGATTTTGTGGCCAGACCATGTTACGAAGGATATATAACTTTTTTGTTTTATTCGTCTTGTTTTAACTTTTTTTTTTCGTAAGACTTTCATATTTAAAAGAAACTTGTAGTTCCAACGAATGATTTATTTCATGGAAATGAAACTACCAACAGAGGCAAGTATCCAAACTTTGATTTGAATAAGTCATGGACCTAGCTAAAAAAAAAAGCCTATGCTCTTACTTTGTAAACGTCATCAACTTGTTTTTTTTTTATCTGTGATTTGATTTCGTAAACTTTTCTAGTTTCTTTTTCATTATTTTATTCAAATTAAAGGATTGACCAAGACTGGCAACTGCTAGTCGAAATATTTCCATGAAATAAATCATTCGTTGGAACTACAATTTTTTTCTTTTAATTGTGAAACTATCAACTAAGACAAGCATTCGGGGGGCTTTCTTTGGACGTTGATCTTCTGACTTTTTCCTCTTGGCTGGGGCACTTATAGT